TTCTGCAATCTTAATTCATGTTCTTTTATTGTTCTTTCTCCTAAATGTTTTTCTTTTTCTCGTATTCTTTTACATTCAGTAACCCCCACCTTGCGTCTTAGCAGCTTTATCACCTTGCTTGGGGTGAAATAATTGAAGAAAACTCATAGACAGTTGTTACTAAATTAATTCTAACAGTTGAATAAATACTTCGGCTCATCACCTCTTACCATAAACTATTGTTTTATATCCTTCTAGTTTTGATGTACGCACTTTGAAAGCGTTTATTTAAGCACGACGTCTGTTTACACAGTAGAGGAATTAGCAATCTTAATAGTGTTGAAAACAAGCAGTCGGCCTCTCTTAAATCCCAACGACCATCTGTTTGCCTGCACATATGCTGCCCTCTTTTGGCTTTCACATGCATGCACAGCGTATCTCATAATATTGTCCTGGGTCTGTATTAGATTGGTCTTGCATACAGGTCAGCTTTTAATTTAGCACCAAGTTGTTAATTTAAAGGCTGATTCATAAATGATAATTTTTTTTTTGTTCTTTTTTTAGATGAACGTTTCACTCCGAAAATAGCTTGCACATGAACTCTTCACGGATTCTAACAGTATTGACAAGTATATATGTTTATTTTTTGTTTTTGTTTTGTTTTTTTCGGTTTTCTCGAGAAATTTCGATACCAATTGTGCACAATCGATGAACTATGGTCAAACAACTAATTACTGATTTTTTAAGAGATTTAATGGCTCAATCATCGGTGAAGAAACAGTTCTTGTGTAATGTTTTGCGACCACAAACCTGTCTGGAAAAAAAAACTATGTTTCCGGGTCGTGGCCAAGAAATTCATCTGACTTCAATCGCGCTGAGAATCCTGAACAGCTACAGCGAAAAAACGGGTTAAAAACATGTCCTCCTGCACTTGTCCAAATGGACGTAACGTTCTCAGCATAATTTGACTCGGGTAATTTGGTGAAGTTTTGAAAGGATCAAATGGTGAACAATGAATGTTCATAAATCGTTTGTGTAAAACTAGATTTTCTAATGGGTAACAATCTAAAAATATTGAGTATTTATGTAGTCTATTGTTCACCATTTACAAGGCCTAAGGGCAAATTCACGTAGAGGGTTACTGAATCAATTTGTTTTATGGACATAAAAAGAATTTAGGAAATTAAGCGCAGTACTAGATTGGCAACAAATTTGAATTGACTCGATGCAACCGTAAGTTCTAGGATAAGAGTTTCTTCTCTCGAACTTCTCATTTGCTCCTCTCTTCCGACTTCATGCTTTTCAACCAAATTTGAGCTACAAAAAATTAAAAGCAAAGCCAATCGTTATATTCTGTCTTCTCAATTCCAGCTCGTAATTTTTCTCTCTCGTTAGTAATGTTTTTCTTTTTCTTATTCTTTCACACTCAGTAACTCAGCGTCTCCGTAACTTTATTGCCTTGCTTGCAGTTAAATGATTAAAAAAATGGAAGATATTTTTTTTTTAAGTTATGGGGACATGTTACTTTTGTTTCTTCTTTTTTTTTCAAATCAGTTCACCTTAAGCAAGGCAATAAAGCCACTAAGCCACAAGGGGTTCCTGAGTGTGGGAAAATGTGTAAAACACTGTTAAGGGGAGAGAACAATAAAAGTAGTCGAATTAAAGAGACAGCAGATAACGATTGGCATTGCATTTAAATTTTTGAAGATCAAACTTGACTGAAGAGTAAGATATTTCCACAAGAATGAAGTGGGATAGAAGAAACTGTTAACATAGAACTTGTGGTTACATGCACATTACATTTCAAATGTAGGGTAGATAACGTTAGAATTGAAGGCTTTAAGATTGTAGTAGTCGAGGAAGTTTCTCTCGATCGTCTGTTCCACAAAGCAGCAGTTCTTGGGAATGAGCTCTCTGAATGAATTTTCTTTCGTGTCAAATAAGTATTGTTCCTGTATATCAAGCAGCATTTAAGCTGACTCCTGCGGACGGTTCTTGATTGGGCCTTCATCCCAATAAGTATGGCGGAGTAGATGCGATAGGAAATAATAAAGAACTGAAAATTGATGGCCGCATTTAAGTAATGCATTAATATTTAAGCTTACCTCTTAAAAGTTCAACGATAATTCTTCTGCCGCCACTTAATTTAAAGACTATTTAATGTACGTAGGTCTTTAGTTTCCGTACAAACAATTATATTTATTCTATTGGTGACGTTCGATGGATTTCGCGATTAATTTCGATTATTCCCAAATTTATTTCCATGTTATAAAAATTGTTATCATATCAAAAAATAATCACGTAAAATAATCGCCGAAAACAATCACAGTAATGAAAACTTGGGAATCTAAATTTCTGGCCTGGAATGTTTTTAATTTGCTCACGGAGTCGACCTGATTCGAAAATGGTATGATATGTTGGGCTACGGCTTCTTGGGGTAAAGTTGAAACACGGACAATTTTATTTTAAAAAACTGTAATTTGAGAACAGTAATTTTTCATTTGAATATGAGGTATTGAAAGTTATAGAGTTGTGTCTTTTTAAATGTTTTATCGGTAGAATCCAAGATGGCGGAATCCAAAAACAATCGCACTAATGAAAACTTATGAATTTAAAATTTCAGGAATGCGGATCAGAATCAGACCCGGAATGTTTTAATTTGCTCACGGAGTTAGCCTGATTCCAAAATGGTATGATATGTTGGACTACAGCCTCCAGGTGTAAAGTGGAAATAGCGTGACACAGTGACACACTGACATTGTCATTTGTTATATAGAAGTGGGGGATGAGATATTGAGAGTTGTGTCCCTTTAATTGAAAAAGTGTGACACACTGACATTGGTATTTATTTTATAGATTACGGCATTTCATACAAGACGGAGCAAAATTCGGCAAAACTGTTCTAGAATAATTGTTTAGATAACTCGAGGTATCATGAGTAATAGAGAAATATGTCCTCCGGAAACTAAGCAATGTATTAAGTTATAGGAAAATTTTGTTAGAAACAAAAAAAATTTTGCTACACTACTATGTCATATAGATCTTTCTATATGACATTTCAAAATTTAATAACTCCTAGATACGGAGTTTCTGTATTTTGAATTATAAGCGTCAATTAAACTTCTGACACGTTTTTATAAATCCTAACCATCGCATATTCTTTTATGTGCCTGTTCAATTTATGGCTTGAACGAGCATGGCTCTCCACAACTTAGTGTCCATCGTCCTTCGTAATTTCCTTATAAATGAAGAGATTCGACGCAACAGCGATACAGTTCTACAGAAGGATGCTCAGAATACCATCGACTTAACATCGAAAAAGATTACTTGGAAGTAAAATCATACTTCCAAATTAAAATAATAAAGAGACAATTAATATTTCTGGTACACGAAACGAGTAAATATGGTTTAGGGAATTTAACACGAACAGGATATACTGGAAGCAGAAGTGTTAGTGAGGGAAACAACGAATAATCTAGCAAAATTATTTGCGTGAATGAATGGCAAAGCTGAAATAAAAAAGGATTGTATGGAGTCAAATGTTACTTAGATCTGTACCGACATTATTATTATTATTAATATAAGTAATAAATATCATAAATAGAATAAAATAAAACCAATAACAAATAAAATAAATAAACACATATAAAACAAATAAAATAATAAAACCAAAATAATAATGTTCCCCCAGTATGCAATGAAAAACCTTCCTGTCTGCGAAATGGATACTTACACTATGAGTAGAGTTGTAGCTGATGGATGGTTCACAAGTCGATATCTGATCCATATGGATCGGGTCGCCGTTGAGGTGGGGCATGATATTGACCGATCCGAAACCCCTAATATCTCCGGGTAAAAACATCACTGATGATGATGCATGCATGCATGCCAATTCATCAAAGAGAAGTACAGTGTAACCCGGATATAAGAGACCCGGATATAAGAGAAACCTGGATATAAGAGAGATTTTCTCTGGTCCCAAATTAGAGCCTGTGTTAATGTATATAAAATAGACCAAACCTGGATATAAGAGAAACCCGGATATAAGAGACTTCTTCTCCGGTCCCGACAACTCTCTTATATCCGGGTTACACTGTACTTCACGAAATCGAGTCAAGTCTTGTTTGAAAAACGTAACTGTTTACATACAAGTAGAAGAAAAAATATTCGCTACGGACCCTCAAAGGGTCAAGACAGCCATTCCTGTCCTAGTTACCGTGCTTATCATAAGACGAAGTGACTTTCTTCCTCTTATATCCAAACTTAAAACATATATAACTAAAATACACACACACACACAGTACCCAAAAATAAATAAAATTATATAATTTACATTTACAATTTAACATGCTTTTAGTGATATTTCTGTGTACGTTTTCCTGTAAATCCCTAATGGCATGGTGTGGATGGCCCCACATCCTTTGGTGACCGCAACGCGATACAATATTGTGGAGAACCATGATCGTTCACGACATTAAGGACACGGTACATCAAAGAATATGCCACCAAAGAAATGTGTCAGAAGTTTGATTGACTCTTATAATTAAAATAATAAAATTAAAAAAAACATTAGAATACAATCTGCAAATTGATTCTTCGGGAGAAGAGTCCTATTTACGTGGGGTGGGGGGTACTATAGATCCCTAATTATTTATTTTAAAAAAATTCTTGATTGTAATATGCGAAGCACTTATTGAATTATCAAGAGTAGAATCAGATATGAATTCCTTCGGTATTTTTGCACAATTCTGATTCTTAACTTTCGAAACACACCGTGAAGCATTTGCAGTATTATCTGCAGAATTTCGTATATATTCTGGCAATTTTAGAAAAATAAATCTCATTTTGGCAGATGAACGTCTAAAAGTGACGAAGGAAATAGCCTAAAATTAATGCGTGGGCGGGTTTTATGGAACTTTTCTTTTTTTTTATTGAATCTACAATTACAGGAAAAATTATATTTTTTGACATGTTGCACTCCGTGAATCTCAGTTGGTTGCAGATAATATAATTTGAACAAGATGGCGCCATTGTCAATTTATCGTTCTTTTGCTTTTTTTCTTTCTTTTCCCCATTTCTTTTTCTTCTTTCCTTTCTCCTTTTATTTTCTTTCCTTCTTTTTTCTTTCTTTGTTTTCTGTCTTTTCTCCTTTCGTTTCTTTCAGTTTTGTCCACTTTCTTTTTTTTTCACCTTTCGTTTTGCTTCTTTTCTATTTTTATTTCTTTTCATCCTTTATTTTCTTTTTATTTCCTCTTTCTTTTCTTTTTCTTTTCCCTTTCTTTTCTTTTTCTCTTTTCTCCTTTCTTGTCTTTCTTTTTCTTTTCACCTTTATTTTCTATTCTTATTTCTTTCTTCTTTATTTTCTTTTTCTTTTCATATTTATTTTCTTTTCCCTTTCTTTTCTTTACTTTTCCACTGTCCTTTCTTTCATTTTTCTCCTTTTTTTTCTTTTTCTTTTCACCTTTCTTTATCTCTTTCTTTTCTTTCTTTCTTTCTAGTATAACGAATTTTTATTTATTCTGTTTGTGTCATAATTTTGTAGGATTATTTAAGTGACCGGTTTCCAAATTATTGAACTGAGCATGGAAGGAACAAAATGATTTAACTCCTTCCGATTCTCTTGTTTGGGGGGGGGTATGCCAAATTACAGATTTACCAAATGAGAATTATTACCCTGGACAATTAACTTGAACTCAAATGAAATATGGCAGATGACACGTTACAAGGGATTCTGAAATCAGTCACGTCGAACACGACTTTTGATAATTTAATTAATGTTATTAAGCTTTCATTTCAATAATTTATCTTTTCAATATGTTTCATTCAAATAGATAGTCTTTAGAGGCATAATTTTTCGTTTCCTTTCTTGAAAGGCAAGTTAAGACGAGAGAGAAAAAATGAAAATGGAAAAAAGAGAGGTGTGTCTTCTTTATGCAGTGCTGTTTACTTCTTGATTTTGCTTACGTTTATGGTAAGCTTGGCCTTGTATTTAATTGACTCAGTGTTAAATTATTTCTAAGTATATTTACTTTATTTGCCGAAAATTTTTTACTTTTTAAAAAAATCATTTCACCCCAAGTAAGGCAAGTAAGGGGTTAATGGGTGTTAACGAATAAAAAAAAGGCAAACATTTTTAAGAAGCGCGAACAATAAAAGAAGAGGTTTGTTTGAAAAGTGAAAGTGCTTTATTTAGTTTTAAAGCTTTCTTTATATGTCTGTTGTTTGCAAATTAACTTCTCCGTTGTAATTTCCAGACTAAACACCGGATAGATTTAAAATTTTGTCTTTTAAACATTGCGGTTTTTACAAGGTTATTTTGTAGTACTGCATGGTATACACACCGTCGATTAGAGAATAACGTCTTTTTGTTAATCAGAAACTTTTTTGTTTTTCTTTTTAGTAAGGCTTGCCTTCTGTGGTAAGTCATTTCCGTCCTTGAAGGAGAAAGGAGAAGTCGCTTCGGTGAAACTTTTTTGTCCAGTTAGTAATCATTTATCAATACTTTTTGTTCGCTTTCCTTGACCACTAATCAACCAGATGAAAGGTCTCCCAGCTAAGGCAAGCCCTTGGTCGATGACATGAATAAATCCAAGCCCAAACGTATTTCCAAATAACACATACAGCACGATAGTTTTCTGTGTCGCTTATCTAAAGGCGTGTTGCACAACGGATATGTTATATACTATCATCACATTATAGTTGTATCAAATTTAAGAATCATTGTTTTATTCCTCTTAGAAGTATGTTTAACTGTTTAACACTTAATTATGCAATTGATATAAAACCAGTTGTCAATTTTGTAAAGCCGTATATAATAGGCAGGAGTGTAAATTAGTATTAAAAAATATTTTTTTTTCTTCTACTTGTATATAAACCGTTACGTTTTTCAAATAAGACTTGACTCGATTTCGTGAAGTACAGTGTAACCCGGATATAAGAGAGTTGTCGAGACCGGAGAAGAAGTCTCTTATATCCGGGTTTCTCTTATATCCGGGTTTCTCTTATATCCGGGTTTGGTCTATTTTATATACATTAACACATGTTGGGACCAGAGAAAATCTCTCTTATATCCGGGTTTCTCTTATATCCGGGTCTCTTATATCCGGGTTACATTGTACTTCTCTTTGATGAATTGGCATGCATGCATGCATCATCATCAGTGATGTTTTTACCCGGTGATCATTAGGGGTTTCGGGTCGGTCAATATCATGCCCCATCTCAACGGCGACCCGATCTATACTGATCAGATATCGACTTGTGAGCCATCCATCAGCTACAACTCTTCTCATAGTGTAAGGCATTCCTAAACCATTGCAACTTTCCAAAATTTATATTCCACTGCTTAACTGACACCAAGGAAATGTCAATTGTCAGAGTGTCCCAGCGATCTTATGTCATGCTATAAAACATTACCATATTCTTACTTTCTTTTACAGTCCTCGGTATGACGATAAACTACATCAGACAGAATGGTCTCTGATCGAGAAATTGGATTTTTTGAAGAGCGTGGAACCACATCTTAATTGCTGTTGTTCCTAGGTCCACCCTAACCCGGGTGTGGGCTAGCACCTGTTACGGTCCCAGCTATGGAGAAAAAGGGAAACACCAAACCAAAACAAAACACTATGGAAGTATAAAAATACCAGCAATATGTTTTTATATAAAAAGATTACCAACAATACATTTTTAAAGCAAAATGACCAACAATAAATTTTATCTGCAGTTAAAACCATAAAATCGTGTTCAAAATATTTAGATTTCGACATTGAACAACCCACAGAGGTGTTGATATGCCGTTAAACGAAATCAACTAACCAAACAACCAACACGAAAGAACTCTTTCGTGACATTAATCCATATAAGATCCTACAATTTCTAACAAAAAATCATATTTTATTCCAAAATATAACTTCAACAAAATTACAACATAAAAATACATATCACCGCCTCTAGTAATTATGTCCACACAAACATGTATATGCAGAAAACATGAGTATCATTTACCATGTATTCAATTGTGAAAGCAGAATAACATAGATCATATTTTTATTACAATGTTTCCAACAAAAATAAATTTCGGCATTGAATGACCCATAAGTAGTTGATATGCCATTAAACAAAGAAATAAATTTTCTTTATTTATTTCTAGTCCCCACACTTTCTTTCTAATTTATTCATTTTTTATTCATCTTGTTTATTAATCGTTTGTGTGAACTCATATTTACACAATATTTGTCTTAAGTAAATACATAAATATAGGTACCTTCATGAGACGGCTAAAAAAGAGCACAGCATAATGAAAAAGACACCAAACGTGATGAAAGCAAAATTTTATCGTCTAAATGTTTATGTTATTATTAAGAGGAAAGATAGAAGTATCTTGGGGGTATTTTTTATATTTTTTAATCGTTCCTAGCACGTCCGAAATTTTCGTTAAAAATCTTGTTTTCTTTGAGTCAGTAAAATTGACAGATAATCAACCATGTCAACAATTCTTTTCCATTTTATAAAAAATGAAAATCTCAGTTTCAAATTCTTTTAAAAATCAATTATAATTTTCTCATAACTAATTTTAAGAAAATTAGAAATTATAATTTTTACTTAAAATATTTAGAAACAAGCATTACTTAGTTTCTGTGCTGAGAAGAAGTAGTTTAAAATAAAATAAAGCAGGTCATAACATTTCGCGTCACTTGACAGTTTACGGGAGGAAAAGTTATCGTACGGGTGGACAGATGTAATATAAATATTTAGATTTAAGTGAACAAATTATTTACCTCGTTATTTTTAAGGAAAACTTTCAGCGCTCTATTTTTTTTTTTTTTTTTGTACTTAGTTTTCACTTTACGTTTACGATGCTTTATGGAAAACATATAAAAAATTCAAATAAGATTGTTGAGAGTGAGAATAAATTTAATAAGAAAGGTATCTAATTAATTTATAGGTAACTTTCTTATCAAATTTTATCAGAAGTGTACATAAAATATTTATGTACATTTATTACATTTTACTGTGTTGTTTGTATTTCCATTCATTTTATTATTAATTTTGATATTTCATTTATGGAAAAATGTCATAGCTGAGATTAATATGAAAATAAGAGCATATAAATTTCATAAGATGATACTAATACTTGTAGGTACTCTTCTAAGTTGAAATTGAAAAATCAAATTAACTTCTCTACACCGGTTTCTCAAAAATAAAGGCCTTTACAGCGGAAAACAATGCTTAACTCAAATAACGCAACAATTGTATTCTTGCTGGTCTTCCGTACTTTATAATTATATAAAAACACAAAATTATATTTCTTAATTACTGAGGGTCTTCTGATTGGTCGAAATTATACAATTTACAATGCGCTAAAAATGATCTATCTCATAAGGACATTTACGAAACTGAATGCGGCTTTCAACTAATTTTATAATATTTTAACAACTTAAATGTAAAAATCTAAAATAATTAAAGAAATAACAAATAATTGTATTAAAAATTCATTTTTCATCGAAAAAATGTTTTACTTTCAGAAAATATTGTCCATATTCATAAAAACAACTAAAAGCAAATAAAAACATTTGAAATTAAATAGTATCTTTGTTTTATTGATTTTGTATGTTACAATTCAGAGCTGATTTTCAGGTAGGGGGTCCAATTAAAAAAATACATGATTTGCTTTCCTCAAAGCCTTGTGATTTTAACTAATACAATCACTAAACTGAATGCGATTGACTTTCTAGAGTTTTCATAAAATTAGTTATGGGGGGAGGGTAATAAATATAAAAAAATATTTTTTCCATGACTTTAAAAAAAGAAAACATATTTATAATAATTTCCGTCATTTATGAAAAGTTTCAGAAAGTTTCATTAACATCCGACAATTATTTTTATTTTTGCAAGATTTTCCAAATTAATGTCATACAAAAAAAAAAAAAAAACGTGCTAAAAATTTATGTTATTTTACTAGTTCCGGTGATACATAGAGAAACAAGGTTTTTTAATCAAATTTTATAATGTTCTATAAAGAAGGAAACATTTTAAAACATAATTACAAAATACTTCGGTTTTCCTCTTAATAATAACATAAACATTTACACGATAATTTTTTTTTCGTCAAGTTTGGCGTCTTTTTCATCAGACTATGCTCTTTTTTATGCTCATGAAGATCCCTACATAAATACATATATGAGAATAATAATGGTATCTGAACTTGTTTGTCAACACTCGTGGAATTTTCATGAGTCCAGGTCGTAAGACATAATTCTTCCTAAGAATAAATCTATTTTTATTATATATGTAGTGGAAGGCATCCATAGTCGTCTTCCCTCTCGAACTACTCGAGTATAAAAGAAATGGTCGAACCTCACAGGGTTTAGGAGAAATAACAAAAAGACAAAATTTATTAAGAGCTATAAATGACAGGAAATTGTGGAGAGCCATAAATGCATTGAATAAAGCTTCACTACAAGCTTAAACGTTCGTTTGTTATTTAGGAGGTGGGAGTGTTGTGTCCCTTCAAGATATAGGCGATCATGGTCCTCCATACCTCCTTGTCCCTTGTAGCGCTTAAATTTTGTCTTTTTGTTATTTCTCCCAAAGCCTGCTCTGCTATTCATTTACTCAAGCTCGTCAAATGTGTTACGCGCAGATTTTCCAAGCCCCACCTTCCTCATTACTTACCCCAGAAATTTCAACTGCCTCTTTCTGTTTTAAAATTGTTTAGGTTTTGTTTCCATTTTTTCCAAAACCATGTCGTTGCTCACACGTTCGGTCCATAGTATCCTCAGCATCTTTCTGTAGAACCACATGTCTGTTGCTTCAAGTCTCTTTTCATCTGTGATTAGATTGTAAGAGGACGGATATCGCACAACAGCTCAATATTCTTGTCTTTGTTTCTAACGACATTTTTCTGTCTCTTAATATTCTGCTTATCATTTAGAAAACATCTTTGAACATCCCAATTCGTCTTCGGATCTCGATTTCCTTCCTCAATTAGAACACTTCTCAGACATTTAAATTTACGTACTTGTTTAATTTTAATATTCCCGACTTGTTATTTGCATTTTAGGTTCATCCTTTTGCTGACAATCATACATTCTGTCTTTTTGAAGTTTATACTTAGTCCTTTCTTCTCTCTTTCCACTTTCATTCTCTACCTTCTGTTAGAGCTTTTGTAGATTCCTTTCCGTGTCTGCTATAAACACTGTCCTTTGCATTCGTTCAGAACGCAGGTAAATTTCAACACAACCCATGAAAACGTTGATATCTATGTACTTCCTTACCAGAAGCTTAAATTTCATACAAGATCGATTTAATATTGGTCCCCTTACACTTTTGTATGTGGACGGTGGACGAATTAGCCCAGTTCTTGCAGCGACTGCCTCAACGACTGGGTAATATACCTTTGGCCGATTTTAGTTTAATAGGGAGGAACCTATTTGTGTCCTATTCCATCCAACATTGAGACATGGGCAACAAAATGACAGAAATATTTTAACTTACCTCCCACCACAGGGATAGGACGTGACTCGGTCGGTTTGAATTGGTGTTGGTAGTGGTGGGTGTTATATACGTATATATAAAGATCAAAAACAAAAATTACCCTGTGTACACCGACCCACATGCTTTAGTGAAATCGTGATTACGATGGTGTCTTTTTTTAAATAATCACTTATTGGCCAAAGCATCGGGCACCGAATGATGATAGATTTCAGAAGTATTAATGGTCATCCTGGCTAACTCGCTAAATATTACTGAAAAGTTGCCTAGACTTGGACAATCCAAATTAAGTACAATAAAAATAATTATTATTAATAGACTGATCACTTAACAAGAGAGGTATCTTCGTTGTTTGATGTGATTAGTCCTTTTACTTCTGTCGCGTTGGTCGATGTTAAAAGGTCACGAACATGCGTCTGTCTCAGAGAATGTTATGCAAAGTGTTTGTTTTTTTGTTTGTTTTTTTGTTTTTGTTTTTTTTCTTTTTGCTGATTCACCAATTTCTTTATTTTGCTCTTTGTTTTACTGAGAAGAAAACTTGTTAGTTGAAGTGGTTGCGGAACTGCTAGTGACTTAAGAATAGGGGGCGGTTGAGCTGGAAATGTAGGACTCGATACTGATAGGGGTCATAGATACTTTTCGTTTGGTGAAGTTAGTTGACGAGAATCAAATTCTAATCTCTTATTGTAATCACACGATCTTTTCTGTTCACTTAATGGTATTCGGTTGAATGGGTTTTGAGGGAGTGTCACCGAGGCATTCACAAAACTTGAGATAAATGAAAACAACACTAGTCAGGAAAAAAATGGAATACATACGCTTAAGATAACATTTATTTTCGTAGTCATTGTACATAGACTCTCTCTCTCTCTTTCTCTCTCTCTCACTCTCTCTCTCTTTCTCGCGCTGTCTCTCTATCTCTGGGTTTCACTCTCTTTGTCTCTCTATCGCCTTTCTTTGTCACAGAGACCCGTTGGTACAGTTGGTATGACGTTTGCCTCCTGTCGTAACTGTCCGGGTTTCAGTTCTCGGTAGTGGATGCGCACTACTGATGAGTCCCGAGTATAGGACGAAACAGCAGTCCAGTGATTTCAATAGTCTGTTTTTTTTTTATTATTATTTTTTTTAAATAAACAGTATTAATATTTAATTCATTAAATGCAATTAACACTGTTTATTTAAATAACAGAGAATTTACTTAAATAAATTGTAACTAGTAGAAAAATAATGTATAAACAGAAAATATATTAAATAATTGTCGGACTTTGTCCATTTCATATATATATATATATATATATATATATATATATATATATATATATATAAACGCAGTAGAAGTAACGGGGAGGTTCTGGTATTGTAATGGCTAGCGACTCCGAAAAAGAAATCGGCGAGTTTATTGCATGCATTTTAGCACAAATGTTTCCGTGAAAATTTATGAATTTGTTTCTTATTTTTCCAGAGATATGGGTTAAATAATAGTGCAGACTCAGCTACCTAGCCGTGATTGGCAATCAGTCAAGAAGGATATGTCTGAATTCAAAACGGGCTATGAACTACTTATGGAAATCTCAATTAACTATGACGCTGTGTTGTGGACTCTATGAAGTCAAATAATAAATAAAATAAAGTAAAAAAAAAAAAAGAAGAAAGAACTACATTATAATTTCACAACGACGCCCAATTTATTTCCCAGGAAATGTGAGATTTTGAAAGAGAGTATACTGTTGATTAACCTGAACATGAAATGAGCGTGTGTTAAACCTAATTCCATTTTTAACTGTGTTCTTACAGTTCAAGCGTGAATAAAAGGAAGTCATTGTGTTGCATTTAGTTCGACGTAGGCTATCAAAATAAGGCATAATGAGACACTCAATTTAAAAATTTCCCATTTGCAAGACAAATAGAACAATGCATATTCGAATCAGCCTAATAGCAGCAGTACATTATCTCCGAAAAGACTATCTGTTATGTCAGAGCAGGCAGAAGAAAGTCACATCTAAAACCAGTCAGTATAAAACAGAGAAAACAGTGCAGCGTTAAAAGTGTTGGTTGGTTGATTTTGTTTAACGGCATATCAACACCTCTATGGGTTATTTAATGCCGAACTCTAAATATATTGAACTCATGGTTTCAACTAAATATATTTTGAGTGCAATTGTATGCATAAAAATACAGATAAAATGTATAGTTTTTAATTCTACTATAAAATGCATTTCTAGTCGTTTTACTATAAATAGGTATTATTGGTAACTTTTTTAAATATGAAAATGTATTGCTGCTACTGTTACTATAGAAATGTATTTGTATACTTTCATAGTGTTTTGTTTGGGGGTTTAATATTTGCCCATAGCTGGGGCCCAAACAATTGCTACTACACCGGTTAAAATCATTTATAAAAAAATTGTCATCTGTTTTAGATAAGTATTCAGCTACTCGATTTTCAAGCAAAGGACGGATATCGGTGGGGAATTTGTTTCACCAATAATGTTCCGTCACCCAGCTGCAGCTCATATCAAATATGGCGTGTTTTCAGTTATAGTTTAAAGAGTATTATAAATTATTGTGCACGGATATTTCTAGAGTGGTTGTTGCGTTTCAGTCGAGATATATATCTATAAATACTTTAGCAATATATATATCTTCTAGTAATATTATCTAGAAATTTTATCAAAATCTTTTATAATAATGTTTTCTAGAAATGTATTAAAATCTATTCCAGTAATAATATCTAGAAATTCAAAAATTATTCTAGTAATATTATCTAAGAATATCATTTAATCATTCTCCACTTTTATTAATATTTTTTATTAGTATTTTGTTCTTACTGATTTCAGCTGTTGCTTTTTTATCATAACTACTTCGGTTCTGTACAGATCCCATAAAACAAATGAGACTTGAACTAACATTCTTTTTTCCCATGATGTATGTTTGTGCACGATATCATCTCTACCATTTAAGCAAGTGACCGTAATGTCAAGAAAAGATTGTGTTAGGGTTTCAGTAACAAAGGAATATTGACGGGGCCGGGTCACTAAGTTGGACTGCATTACAGAAATTACTGCTTCCGCCTACCATTCTTTTTGGCAAGAAGAAAGGGTATTTCCAGACGGCATTAGTGCAAAGTAAAGGCAAAGTGAAGTCTACAAAAATCTGGTTCTGCAAAAGAATACTGAGAATTCCTTGGACGCAGCAAGTAATCAACGAAGAAGTCTTAGATAAAATACCAACAAAAAGAACATTTATGCACAGAATCAGTAAGAGAAAGCTTACTGAACAGATAAGGAAGGAGAGATTTGAAAACTTAACCGGCACAAGGCATATTGAAGGCAAGAGAGATACGGGAAGGAAGCGAGCTGCCAACCCGATGAAGTTGTATGAATGGACGGCGAAACAAGAACGGGAGTCTTAGTAAAAGTAAAAAAAAAAACATGACTTTGGGCTACAAGGGATTCTTTTTATAATCATTTCTCCCAAGAATACGAAAAAATATTAAGGATTGAGAATAATAAAAGAACAAGAATTAAAAAAGACAGAAGACAACGATTGATTTATAATAAATATAAAATTAGAATGTCTTGGCGAGCCATAATCGCCCATGTGCTGAAGGGACTCGGCATATGGTTGGTTGCTTGATTTGTTTAACGTCATATCAACTCCTTATGGGTCATCAGTCAGTTATGTGCCATGCGTGATACATGCTTAGGCGATCATGTATCTTTCGATGCATGACTGACGAGACAGACTTTTTTTTACTGCAGTCGGTTGACATTTCTTTCTGCGGCAGACCAGGTTATAGAATGTTATCTGTCCTGCTATCTACCCTGGGGGAAGAAGAAGAGGATTCATACATTTCCCAAGGGTATTAGCACGTCAGTGAATCTAATGGATTCAAATTTTCTTGTGAGCTTTGAAGTCATAAACATATGATATAGGTTATTCTGCATTCACAATTGAATAAACGGCATCATTTATATATATATATATATATATATATATATATATATATATATATATATATATATATATATATATATATATCAAGTATGTGGTGCACTTCAATTTACATTACATGAATCATTCATACAAAAAACAGATATAGAAGTTAATGATTTAAATGGCGAGAATTTTGTGAACTGTTAGATTAACACCCCCTGGTGAAAATCACAGGCGACGATATTTTGAATTACTGCCCCCTGACGATAATTACAGGTGGTGCGAGATTTGAAAGTATCATCTTTTTCTCGGTGACTTTTTCGCTCCGCAAAAATATAAGTATCTCAATTGCAGATCAGAAGAATTGCTTTGAACACTTCCCATTTAAATTAATTTCTCATTTTCAATTTAAAAATGTCCTATCAGTATATTTATTCAAATTTAAACTTACACAAATCCACCTTAAATTGTTTGTGCATTAAATGTACCTAGAACATAAAAAAATCTCATCAAAAGCCCGCAACACGACATAATTACTAATGTCACTGATATGTGTGTTTCATGTGGTATTTTGTTGTCATATTTTGTATTAGAGTATGATTTTCTAAGAAATTCTAGGATATTATATGGATCAATGTCATGAAAGAGTTTTCTTGTTGGTTGGTTGTTTGATCTATTTTGTTTAGCGGAATGGGTTATTTAATGCCGAAATCTAAATATATTAAACACAATTGTATGGCTTCAACTACAGATAAAATTTATTGTTAGTCGTTTTGCCTTAAAAATGTATTGTTTGTAATTCTACGTAAATACGTATTGCTGATCATTTAGCTTTAAAATTGTATTTGGTGGTATTTTTTATATAAAAATGTATTGCTGGTATTTTTATACTTTCATAGTGTTTTGTTTTTGTTTGAGGGTTCACTATTTCTTCATAGCTGGGACGATAAAAGGTCCTAACACTCTAGATCAGGGCGGACCTGGGAACGAACAGCATTTAAGAGATGGTTCCATGTTTCCCGATCAGAGGCCATGCTGCCGGATGTAATTTATCGTCATACCCATACACGGCATATAGAAGAAGTAACTGAAGCTACCCCAACCTAAATTTGAACACATTTCATCGATTCCATTCTTTGTGCTTTTAAACGTCACACCACCCGCACTTATACATATTTTAGAGAAAAAACTGAAAACTGCATATATGGAAATTATGTTAATCAGGGCACACGCCTTATTTAGACAAAAGGACACTATTGCCATTGTATCCTATTTAAAAGCAATCTACTGTACCTAGATGCATGGTCTTTCGAATGATGCATTGTATTTCGTTTTGTTTTCTTTTCTTAATTAATAAAAAACAAAGAAATCTGATTTGTATTTCTATTCTGTTTTCACTTACATCAATGCGTACGTGACGTTCTTTCGGAGTAACAAAACGTTTACCAACCTTGTCACTGTGCGAACTGTGACGATGATGGTGTTGGCGAGGGAGATTAGATGGGAGCGGTGGGACACGAAAGTTTGTGACGTTGATAGAATGGACCAATCATATTCGGCTGTGGGTGGTAGTGGATGAGGCGAACCTTTGTATTTGTCCGGTGACTGGTGACAGTGCTAGTTAGAAGGGCTATTAATTGTTTGTCTAGACAAATAGCTGTGAGAACAGTGGGTAAAATTCCTGGCGGTGGGGAGCGAAAGAAGAAGAAGAAGAACAAGAACAAGAACTATTAACTTCTACTTAGTATAAAGAATTACTCTGGAGAAAGAGCGCGTATCTCTTTGCATGCAAAATTGATTGAAGATGAGTTCGGAAAAAGAGGGAAATGAAGAAAAAAACAGTGTCTATAACTGTTAGTGTTATTTAATATCAGTCAGTCCTCTTATAGGGCAGTGAATGCTGGACCATCAAATCACAGAAGAAGAAAGAACTTGAAAAATTGTTCTACAGAAGAATGCTGAGAATACCATAGACTAAACATGTGGACACTGACGAAGTTTTAGAGAAAATGGGAACAAAAAGAACCCTTGAAATTTCTAAGGCACATAATGAGGAAAGAGGGCTTGGAAAAAAGACACTCACAGGACATACAGAAAGCAAAAAGGACAAAGGTAATCAGCGAACGATCTTGTATAAATGGTTGGCTGAACAGGGAAAAGCAAAAAGACAAACTTTAAAAAGGGCTACAAAGGACAAAAAATTGGTGCTGAGCAATGATCGCCCATGTCCTGAAGGAGAAGAAGAAGTAGAAGAATAAGAAGAAAAAGAATTATTATTATGTTAACCCAGTATAAAGTGAAATCGTTGAAACGGTAACTGGGAAATTCTGTTACGGAAATATTTCAAGTGGAGAGTCCCTTAAAACCAACAACCGAGAAGCTACCTCTTAGCTGAGATCGAACCTAGACGACTAGATTCTTCTTCTTCTTCTTCTTCTTCTTCTTCTTCTTCTTCTTCTTCTTCTTCTATGTCCTCTGTCCCTTCAGGGCGTGACTTACGGCCATATAGCGTTGAAAAACCGGTTCCCATACGATCACCTAAGTTAAGCAATATCGATATTGCTCAGTCCCTATATAAGTGACCACTTGGGAATACCAGGTGCTGTAGCTTGAATGTGCAGGTGGTGTAATGGATAATGGCTCGGAATTGTTAATCGAAAAAACAAGTTCCAATTCCATCTGGGTTCGTTATATTCGCTTACGCACAAATCCCCTTGGGAAATGTATGAATCCACTTTCTCTTCTCACGCCAGCAATAGGTTAATTAGTAAAACTTTTATCACTAAATAATTATTATCTCCAAAAAGAAAAAGAAAAAATCTTACAATATAAAAATATTTTTGGGGTTTTAAATAACCTGCAAAGGGTTGATAAGCCGTAAAAAAGAAACAATCAATCAACTTGCACGACGATTACGCTTTTCAATCTAGATTAAAAATGATTCAGGCCTTTCTTTCATTTTCTATAAAACTATTAAGCTGGGAGGGATATGGAAATGTGAGTGAGAGAATGAGAAGTGGTGGGGAAAAGAGTATATAAAGGAAAAAAAGATGAGCGGTATGAACGTGAGAAGGGAAAAACAACGTATATAATAATATTAAACGGGTGGGAATTGGGAAATGTGAGGGAGAGGAGAGTGAGAGAAAAAGAGAATTTAAAGGAGGAAAGGTAAGAGGTAAGATGGATAAAGAGAAAAAATAATTAGGGCGAAACTGCTAAACATCTCAGAGGGAAAGAGTGTGTTGGAGAAAGAGAATTTAAACGAACAATGGTAAAACGTAAGAAAGTTCGAAAGAGTAAAACTAAAACTAAATGAGAGGAAAAAATATTTAGAGAGAGAGAGATTTTTTGTAGAAGAGAAAATGACAGCGTCAGTTTTACAGCCTTTATATCAAGACAAAAATGAGCTAATATTTGAAAGACTACTAGGCATGAAAAGCCATCAAGTTTGACATAAGCCTTATTGAGGGATAGAACAGCATAATTATTACGTGAGACTTTGGCTTGAACGTTCGCTACTGATATGTAATCAGTTTAAGAGCATCATTTTACAACACCCCTATATATATATATATATATATATATATATATATATATTATTAATAGAGATCTTATAAGTATAAGAAACTATATTCGCTCGGAAAACCTTCGGTGTGTTGATCTGCAAATAAACAAGCCAATATCAAAGGGAAAAAGGTAAAAAAAAAAAAGAACCAAGAATATGTACGTTAACCGAAAATAATCGTCCAGCATACGAGTCCAAGACCCAAAAAAAAAAACCCCGATGCGAGTACCCAAAATAACTAAGTACAGTACTCAATACAATGTGTAGAAACAAACCCGCTTAGGTGAAACCTTGGTAGGTTTATCTGGCTCTCTAGGTTTAACTAATTATATATATATATATATATATATATATATATATATATATATATATATATATATATATATAATAGCTTACAGTGAGTGCTAGTGATAATAAAATGTACCATCACCACAATTTCCTGTCCTTTGTAGCTCATAGTAAATCATATCCTTTTCTTTTCTCTCACTGCTAAATCCTGTTCATCCATTTGCACAAGATCATTGGATAGGTTATGCGTTGTTTTCCTCCGTCCCTCTTTCCTTCAGTATGTCCCGTGAGAGTCAAACTTTCTAAACCTTCTTTCCTCATTATGTGCCCGAGAAATTTCAACTGTGGATACTAACTTCTTGTGAATATTTATTTATTTTCTATTTCACCTGGAAATGTCATATTTTACTTTTAAAATAGATTACTGAAAATTAAATGTTACATATGAAAGGCATTGATTTCCAAAAGTTCAAATCTATATAATACTAAAAATATATTCTTATATGTATGCATGTTTGTTCCTGAGATACAACTTAACCAATTTAGAAGCATACTTCTTTTGCCCCACCCCTCCGAGTGCAGTACCAAATTTAATTTAAAATAGACGGAGGGTTCTTGAATTAGGGTTGTTTTCCTGTTTTTACGGCATTTTTAATAGGAAATTCAGTATGTGTTTTCGATACAAATTGCATTTTATACTCCAACTATTATGTGGGTGAAAAATAATAAACATTTATATTACATCAGAACAACATTATTAAATACATTTAAAAATACATAAGGCAACATAATACAATTATTATTACATTAGAACTTTTTTTTATAAACAAATATCTCAGTTGTTTGGCAATTACTTGATAAACAGTAGCAAAGGTTGGATAGCTTAGCTGCCTTTGTTCTGGAAATGCAATCTGATACAGAGGTGCAACCTCGCGTCCATTACCATTCGCGCAGCCATATGTAAAAATCATATCTGCCTGCTTACGATATGAATATCCTGCCATTGTTAAACGGAACACTGTTGACAAATTTATTTATTGTTCTACGGAGACTTTATCTGTTAAAACATAATTTAAGAAAATGACGAGTGAACGCCTTCTTTATATAATTCTTAAGTATTCAGTAATCTTAAATATATTGGAAAATATTCCCTGTAATCTAACTTTAGGAATGTTGAATTTAAATTTACTATAGTCATCGCTATTATTTTCTGAATATGTCGTGTATGGTCGACTATACTTTCAAACTACGCACGTTACGTAACATTATATATATATATATATATATATATATATAAAGTTAAAATTATTTAAAAGTTTGTAAAGCAAAATACTTTGTACTAAGCATTTCAATTTTTGATTAGTAAATATAGTTTTCACTTAATAACAATACTACCTAACTGTATTGACGTAATGAAGAATTTTAAACGATTGATATATGAATTATTATAATTAAAATTTTAAAAAATTAGAAACAATTCTTGTAAAAATTCATTATTCATCGATTTTTTTTTCTTAAGACAACTTTGTCCTTAATAAATCTTATTTATAAAAGGAATTAAACGCTTTTCCAATTAAATAAAGTTTTATTGTAATTTTTTATTTTATGATTCGGGGCAAATTTTCGGTTAATGATCAGTAATTTGAAAAGAAAAATTTCATTTTCCAAAGAATCCTGCTTTTAAATCATAAAACAAATGTTGAGGATGAAATTTAATTTCTAAAAATTTTATGAAATTAAGTAAGTAAAGGGGAAGGATAGCATATGTAAAAAAATATTTTTTACCAAGATTTTCTAAAAAAAAATTCAAAAATAATTTAATTCTCTTGTGAAAAAGACCGGAAAATTTCATTAGAAACGACTGAAAAGGCCCTGCGGTTAAGTATTTTTTTATTTATTTAATTTTCTTCTTTACTGGATTTCGTATTTTCTGGGCTGATTCTGCCATGGAGTTCATCACCGATCAGGCAATATTCGACTTTGCTAGATTGGTGATGCACTCTATGGCTGACAGTCTATAGCATGTGAGATCTAATGACTATTTATCCTCTCGCAGAACGCATAGTTTTCTCTAATAGGATTTCTCAAATGTTCAGCCCGGTAGATGAAAATAAGTAAATATATTGTTTACTAAATAAATGGAACGTCTATTCAAATATGAGTATCCAATAAAAATAACGTTTAAAGTGATAAAATCTCTCAGATTAAGAAATAAAAAACATTACTTCTTTAGAAATACATATGTGTGTGTGTGTGTGTGTGTGTGTGTGTGTGATTCTGTTTTGGGACCTTACCCATAATAACATAATGGGATATTCCATACGTAATAAATACTGCGCCTCAAGAGGAAGCAAGAGTTCAGTCCGAAGTCGGGCGACCGGCGGATCGGCTGATCGGCTGATCGGTTAAACTCTCTGCCTTCGGGCGGGGAGGAACCCGAACGAGGCTACGCCGAGGGGCGGAGTCTCGTTCGAGGAGGTAAACCGTCCCTGAACCCGTTTATACGGGTTCAAAGGGCATATTTTGGCCGAGCCCACGGGCTCAGAGATCCCACGTTAAACTTGTGCCTTGTGCCACATGATGCCCTCGTGGTGGGGTGATTAGATATCGTTCTGTCTGAAGTCGGACGACCGGCTGAACGGTTGAACTCTCTGCCTTCTGGCGGGGAGGAACCCGAACAAGGCTACGCTGAAGGGCGAAGTCTCGTTCGGGTACGTAAACCGACCCCGAACTCGTTAATACAGGTTCAAAGGGGAATATTTCTGGCCGAGCCCACGGTCTCGGAGATCCCACGTTAAACCGGCCTTGTGCCACATGATGCCCTCGTGGGGAGTGACTAAATACCGTTCAGTCTGAAGTCTGGAGTGAGGTCCGTCAGAAGTCTGTCTGTCAGTCAGAGCGAGCGAGTCAGTCAGTCGAGTCTGAGGCAGTTCGAAACAGAGTCGCGTGCAGACAATTACTACAAGACATTGGAATAGTGATACTGGTCGAGACTACATTGTTCTCCCTACTAAACCTGATTGTTCATACGAACACTTTTCTACCTCTCTGTATATATTCCTGTTCGTTTTATATCTGTGTTATTCCATATACGTGTTCGAGTTCTTCTCATTTGGTTCTACATTGGACTATCACCGTGGTACAAAGAACCGGACCATAACAGATTCACTAATATATGTGAATATAAAAATTAGAGACATAAGGATGTCATGAGGTTTTCGGTGATTAGTCACTCAAGGGCTCAATCACCGGAAAATGAACCAATCAAATTTAAAAAAAAATAAAACTCAGAGGACTTTTGATAGTTGTCTGGAGTTTGAAACCAGCATACATACGTCAGTAACAGTAAGAATTCGATGACGATCAAGTTGTTGCGTTTGTTCTCTCTCTAGTATGTCGCCGACATAGAGGAAATTGTACTCGTCTGTCTTAATTTCATTCATCAAGTTACTAAACTGACAATAATTCAATTGTCAAAAGCTTCAAATAGTTTTAGAAAAAAGAAAAGAAGATTACGTAGGTTACCTACAACCCACAGGCAGTGAATCAGAATTAATCACATCAGAGGCAAAATACGAAAGTCCAAGTAAGATAGGTAGGCAACTATTATCTCAAATCCTGATTAAAAGGACTCCTTTGTGCTCTTTCTTGAATGGTATCATATTTCGATTCAATTTAGTATTATATATAAATATATGTAAATTTGTTTTCCTCATAATTCTTCATTTTGTTTTATTTTGTCCGTTGAACGCGCC